TGCATTGTTTACGAAAAATATTTGACAGGTGTCTTTTCATGATGAATTAGACATCAAATGTCTTCCTGACATACCTAAGATATTCAAATTATATTTAACAAACATAAGTGATAAAATTAAAAGTGTAATAAAATATAATAGAAATAAAATGAATCCACATTTACTTTGTTTACTCAGGAAATATTGGAACGAAAAAGCCCAACATTTTTCGCCACAATATAAAAATAAACTCATGCAGTTTTTAGACAACAAGCTTTCATGCAAAATTATCGGTAATTTTGAAGCACTTGTGCAATTACCCCCGATAAATCGTCTGCGCAAATTGTCAATTATGTGACTTTGACATAATCTCATTGTTTAAATTAATAAAGGTAATATTAATTAATAATTTTGATGTACATTTAATTTGGGTGTATGTTTCTCTGGTCTACTTCAGATTTTAGCATAGGTAACCATGCATGACTTGAATTAAATGAACCTGAAGCAACACAATTATTTTGATTTAGTAAAATTAGTGCGCTTTCTTTAATTTTACGTTTTTTTGTAGATTGTTCTCTTGTTAAAATTGTAGAATTGTTCCATTGAATTTTGTGGAAATTATCAAATGCATGTTGACAAATATGTGATTTATGATATTCTCTGTTTTTTTTTATGTATGATTGGTGTTCTTTGGTTCTTTTGTGTAATGGTCATGAGGTTTCTCCTGTGTAAAATTCATTGCATTCGCAAGGAATTTTATAAATTACATTTTCGATAATTTTAACATTAAAACACATTTTTTGTATTTTCAATTTTGTCATGAGGTTATGTTACTGAAATTATGCTATTGTATTTTCAGTTTTGAAGGTAGTCCTAATATTAAATTTTTTACCTACTCGTTTAATTTAATCTGAAAGTCCTAGAATAAATGGAATGAAAAGGTTTGTAATAGGTTTATTTTGGTTTTCTTTTGTTTGTGGGAATTCAATTTCGTTAAAACATTTTTCAATAAAAGAACTTGGATAATTATTGAAATGTAGAATTTCTTTTATAAATTGTTTTTGTATGGAAAAATTAGATTGATTACAAATTATTTTTGCTCTATCATATCACGATACCTTTTTTAACCATTATCGGGTGATTTGAGTTGAAGTTCAAATATCGGTTACTATGAGTAGGTTTTCTATAGACCAAGGTTTCGAAATTGTCTAAATTTTTTTGAATCAGTATATCGAGAAAAGGAATTTGGTGAATAAATTGTGTAACAATAGTAGGATAATACAGTATATGAAAATTCGCTCTGATAATTCTTCAGAGACGAATTTAATTTCCTTTACTAATTGGAATTTTCTCTTACAGCTTGAGCCTAAGTGTGTCGCAGGATACCCTCTAGGTGATAGTTGATAACTTTTTGATAAATAATTCGTTCTGATTGCGAAATAGGAGCACTATTTATCAATCTGTCCTAAATGACGTGAGGAAATTCTGTCTTTTTTAAAGACAAAAATTTTTGAGGCGAAATACCCAACAAAAAGTTTGTAAAAAAAACAACTAATGAGACGCGATTGTTCGGAAAATTTGCCTAAAGAGCTTCGAACAGAGAAATATTGGCGAGAAAATTCGGGCGTTTAGCTAGATATCTAGTTTTATGAATATGAATTGAAAGTAAAAATATAATAGCAGTTTAAGTAGAATATTTACTATGTGCAAGAAACGTAATGAACGATTATATAAAAATAACAAATTATATGAAAAAGTTAATTCTGGATTTATCTCCAATTCCTGCTCTCATTACCGCTTGAAAACTAAATCGTCTGGTTTTTTTTGCAGAAAAGATGTTACCAGTTCCAGCTGCTCTCATGATTATCATCATAATTTTACTCTTAATAATTTTCTCTATTGTTATAACCTTCTCTACGTACACTTTTTCTTATTGGAAGAAACGAAAATTTAATTTCCTGGAGCCAACAATCCCATTTGGAAATGCTCAGAGTTTCTTTCTTGGAAAAAAGGGTTTAGGAGAACTTTATAGCGATTGGTATCTGGAAATGAAAGCCAAGGGTTGGGATATGGGAGGTGCCTATTTCGGCAGCAAACCCGTTTTCATACCAATCGATAATAAGCTGATTAAAACGATATTGGTTAAAGATTTTTCGAATTTTCAAAATCACGGCTTTTACATCAACGAAAAAATCGATCCACTGTCTGGGCATATCTACAATTTGGAAAGCAGCAAGTGGAAGAACCTGCGCTCCAAAATCCTCCCAGCTTTCTCTTCAAGCAAATTGAGGAACCACATAGTTGTCATGGATAGTCTCACCAAAGTATTAGTCAACAGACTAAGAAATATGGCACAGTCTCAATTACCAATTGACATTAAGAGTAGTTTGGATAGATTTACCTTGGACGTAACATCCGCCTCCCTTTTGGGAATCGAAACTGAATGTCTGAAAGATAAAAATGCTGAATTAATGAAGCAGACCAGAGCATTCTTTGACATACAATTATGTCGACTTTTTAACACCTTGGTACTGCTAATTCCCAGGAACATCCTTATATTTTTCAACTTCAAGGTGTATCCAACACAGGTAACAAATTATTTCATTAACTTCTTTGGCAATCTTAAAGCTCAAAGATCAGTGGAAAAAATAAGGAGAAACGATTTGACCGACATATTAATTGATCTATGCGACAAAACTAAAATTGTTTCCGGGGATAGTGGTAATGGTCTAACAGAACCCCTAACAATCAAAGAGTTTGCTGCACAAATGCACCTGTTTCTTGACACCTACGAAACTTCTTCGGCAACAGAAACTTTTGCTCTGTGTGAACTGGCTGCGTATCCAGATATGCAAACTAGATTGCGAAATGAAATCAATACTGTTTTAAGCAGATTTAATGGTGTTGTTGAGTACGATGCAATCACCGAAATGAACTATTTGGATCAAGTTGTTAATGGTAAGTCTCTAAATTCAAATTCAAATTGAAAATTATTAGCGTGTTTGTATGGTATAGCTAAATTTGAGAGTTTGGCTTTTTTACATTTTTTACATTACTTTGATAAATGTAAGTAACTGTTACTGTGCAGAAAATACTTTCTGTCGTAACTTGCGTATAACCTGAATTCTAACTAATTCATACTTAATCATATTTTATGTGTTGTTTGTAACCAATATAAAATCGTTTCAAAAGATAAATATAACATATTCTATTGTTCTAGTGAATTATATCCGCATCTGATAAAATTTATACGCACATAATTTCCATATTTGATTGTGGATGAATTATTCTTGAACCAATTAAAAACCAATTATGCTTTTCAACCCAGTGAAACTTTGCGTCTTACTTCAGAAACATTACGGAAGTATCCTGTACTACCCGTTCTTCCAAGAGTATGTGAAAGCGATTATCCAATACCGGATAGTAAACTTACCATTGAGAAAGGAACATTGGTAATGGTGACAAACATGGGAATTCATTACGATCCTGAATATTATCCAGATCCAATGCGTTTTGATCCAGAACGATTTACGTCAGAAAATATAGCGAAAAGACCATTTTCCTCATTTGTTCCGTTTGGTGAAGGTCCAAGAAGTTGTGTCGGTAAGAATCAAGAGCTTAAATAAGGCAAATCGTGAAATAAAAAAGGTAACTTTTGCGAAGGAAGGTTTTTTTTTAAATTTATTTTACTATTTATGAGATAATAATGCAGTACCAAAATTTATTAGACGCAAGGCATATATTCAATGATGTGCATGTATAGAAAATGCACGTTTTGAAGCCTTTAATGTTACCCAACGAATTTCCTCAAATTTAGTCTCACTCAACATTTATTTCGGATCTTCAACTCACTGCAATTTACAAGCTGGGCCACCTTAAAACGGCTTTCTCCGAAATGACTGAATGAACAATTAATCGATAATTAACACTTTGTGTCCACGTTAATTAACTTATGGAAATTAAAATTTCATAAAAATATACAACCTCCAACACGCAATGACACGGAATTTCACACCTTGTGAGCATGCAACTAGAACAGTTTTCATATCAAATGCATGGAGCCTTAGCCTGTACATGCAACTATAAAGTGGCAAGCAAAGTTCATGGGGCAACTGTTTGTAGGGAAGCGTCTTGGAATGTTGCAGGCAAAAGTTGGTTTGATTGCAATCCTTCGGAATTTCAAGATAACATTAAGCGAGAAGACTAAGATGCCGATCCAGTTTGAAAAATCTGGACTTTTTTTGAACCCTGAAGGAAAAATATGGATAAACCTTGAAACAATTGAGTGATTATGACCATTTTGCATATATTTACTAAATACATTTGATTAATTTTTACGTGTTTCTTTTTCTTTTAATTAAAATGATCCTTACAGAGTAGAAGTAGTTGGTAATTACTTACCCAATTTCGTCAAAATGCCTCGAATTTCTAAAAAAAAACAATGAAATTGGTGAATGATTCGCGCTGACGTGTTAGCACTTATCAGTGGAATGATCTTGTGGCGCACAATTTATCCTGGTGACGTAACAACAAAGGATCAGCAGGATCCTTTTTGGATTTCAAACAGTAGAAACAGAGACAAACCTCTTTCAGCCTCAACCCTCAAGCGAGAGTATTTGAATAGCAAATTGTTCAACCTTTTTTGCTTTGTCGTACTCAGCTCAGTGTTATTCGTTTTCTCATCCATATGGAGCATCGCTATATATGGAGCAAAATATTCAATTTAAATCAACTATTTTTCTATTCTTGGACTATTGGCCGACTTAACATGACCTGCAACATACTATAATCGAGAAATATATAAATATTATTGTTTCTCTCGTATTAATCTCCACAGTCCCATGATAGGTCATGTGAAACGTCTGATAGTGACTTCAGTTTAAAAATAATTTACTTTACAAGGTGTCCAAGATAAGGTTGCTTTGCATGGGTATCTATGAAACTGCGAAAGATACGAACTCTCTTAAATTAAGAAATAATTGCGCAAGTTGAGGCAATGTTAAATTCAGTATTAATAGAGCTTCCTAATCGGTTTCCTTTTTTTTCTGTCTGTTTGAAAAACAAAGCTTGATGATGGTTTTACAGAAACGGAACGTTGTAATTAATTTTTGTAGACACCATCTTGTAGCACTAGAAAAGGTGCCATCTGACGGTATTTTTTGTTTTTTGATATAGTTTGAAATAACTTTAAAATTTAAACAGAACTAAGATCCTAAAAACCACTTTCTTCTAAATATCTCAAAACTTTTGTATTCAACAGTTTTTGACCCTGATATTTACCCTGAAAGTGGAGAAAAACCTATTTGAGGCCACATGAAAAATTGCAAATGTATGTTTTGTCGGTACTATTTGGAAACTGTATTAGTAATCATTTTAATTGTCCTAATGTCTACTTTAAAATGGTCTATGCGACTTGGTGGTTTATTTATCGTTAAACCGCTGAAAATGCGAAAACTGAAAAGTCTCTGAATAACAATTTCTTCAATATTTTCACTGATTGTCTATTTTCTTCATTATTTCTATTAACAGTGGAGTATATTTACATAATATAAGTTGCTTTCATGTGAGATTATTCCAGTTGAAAAAATCTTATTACAGTAAGTAGCGCAAACCAGCCGGCCGACATGCAGGCGGAGTTGTTGAAAAGTTTAAATAAATAACATAAAAACTTTACCTATACATATTAGCGCTTTAATACAAGTATGATTAGACATTTATTTGAAATCGATCATTCATGGGTGAGAAAGAAAGTAAATACTGAAAAATTGTTTTTTCCCATTTTGACCGTTAATTTAAGGTTGTGCGAAAAAGTGTTAAATGCAATAGTTTTATATTTTTTATTATCTTCAGCTTTTGCATTAAACGGTTGCCGCTAGCAAGTCACTTTTCGCCGCAAATCGCGAAAAAGCGATTTCAACTCCAAAGCTGCATCCCCATTTCAACATTCCCGGTGTTTTCGTATTCAAATTTAATTTTTTCTCTGAGTTGGAACCTCAACAACATTCTCCACCTGGTCCTTGCCTGTTATAATTTTCTTGCACTAGCCTATTAGGGTTTCGAAGATCTCCATGCAATGCATCCTTTACTTGGACACCTTGTAAGTGCATTGTATTGATTGCGAAAAGCTTACTGTTTTGTAAATTTTTCTGATACTTATCACATAATCAGTTTAACGTACTTCAGACTAAGATTGAAAACCACACAACACTGAACTAGATAGGTACTAAAGAAACACGAAACTGATAAATCAGACATTTTTGCACCAGAGAACATAAACTTGGTAAGCAGTACATTTAACAAGGTAAAACGAGTTTTCAGAAGATATATTGTGATTTGCACAACGTATTGTTTCTAAATTAAATTTATTATTAAAAGACCCATGAGGTGAAAATCAAGGTTCAACTTCACAACAATAACTGATGGGACGCGATACCTCGGAAAATTTACTCGGGGGTTTAGCTAGATATCTAGTTTCATTATTAACCGTATACATCAATTACTACATGAATTAAAATTAAAATTAAAATAGCCGATTAAGTAGAATTTTCAATGTGTGCAAGAAACGCAACGAATGATTATATAAAAAAACTTAATGCTTGATTTATCTCCAACAATGAGACGCAACAATAACTCATTAACGCTTCAAAACTAAATCGTCTATTTTTTTTTGCAGAAAACATGTTACCGGTTCCGTTACCACCTTCCATCATTATGATAGTGATTTTAGTTCTATTAATTTTGTCTGCTGCTATAGGTTTCTGGAAGTTCACTTTTACGTACTGGAAAAAGCGAAAATGTAATTTTCTGGAACCAACAATCCCATTCGGAAATGCCCAAAATTTCTTTCTCGGAAAAAGAGGTTTCGGAGAACTTTTTGGTGATTGGTATCTGGAAATGAAAGCCAAAGGTTGGGATATGGGAGGTGCCTATTTCACACGCAGACCCGTTTTCATACCAATCAATAATCAATTGATTAAGAGAATATTAGTCACAGATTTTGCATATTTTCAAAATCATGGCTTATATATCAATGAAAAGACAGATCCACTCTCTGGACATCTCTTCAATTTGGAGAACCGCAAGTGGAAGAACTTGCGATCAAAAATGCCAGCAGCTTTCTCTTCAAGTAAATTGAAGAACTACACGGTTATTATGGCGAATTTTACCGAAGTGTTAGTTAATAGACTAAGAAATATGTCACAGTCTAAATTACCAATTGAAATCAAGGAAGTTTTGAGTAAATTTAACGTCGACGCAATATCCGCATGCCTTTTTGGAATTGATACTAAAAGTCTTGATAATGAAAATGTTGAATTAATGAAGCATGGAAGGGCATTCTTTGACATTCAGTTCTGTCGAGTTGTTAACACATTGGTACTGCTAATTCCCAGGCCCATTCTTACATTTTTCAAGTTCAGGGTGTTTCCAACACATGTAACGAAGTATTTCATGAATTTCTTTTCCGATATTAAAGCTCAACGAGCAGGAGAAAACATAAAAAGGAACGATTTGACAGACATATTAATTAATTTATGTGACAAAACGAAAAGTGTCTCCGATATTGGTGGTGATGGTGTAATGGAACCGTTAACAAGCACAGAGTTTGTTGCGCAAATGCATCTGTTTTTTGAAGCCGGCTTTGAAACTACCGGAAGTACCCAAACATTTGCTCTATATGAATTGGCTACCAATCCAGATATTCAGAACCGATTGCGAGTTGAAATCAATACTGTTTTGAACAAGTTTAATGGAATTGTTGGGTATGATGCAATTACCGAAATGAAATATTTAGATCAAGTTATTAATGGTAAGTAATATAAAAAAAATAAAATAATTGGATTACAATTGGGAGTTTTTTTTGTCAATTTTAATGGAGGGTTCCAAAAGATTTTATTTATTATGCCCATATTTGCTTTCAATATGTTGATGATTCACATATAACCAATGGTTTAAACATCTCAATGTTCTAAAATGCTGTTTATTCCAGAAACGTTACGAAAATATCCCGTATTTCCCATCCTTCCAAGATTATGCGAAAACAATTACCGAATACCAAATAGTAACGTTACCATTGAAAAAGGGACGCTGGTAATGGTGACGAACCTAGGAATTCATTACGATCCCGAATATTATCCTGATCCAATGCGTTTTGATCCAGAGCGATTTACGTCAGAAAATAAAGCGAAGCGACCATTTTGCTCGTTCATGCCGTTTGGTGAAGGACAACGAAGTTGCGTTGGTAAGTACCAAGAGTTTCTAGGAAAAGTTTAAAGTCACAACGAAATATATTTTCAATTTTTGCTTGTGTCGGCTACTACCAAACAGTGATAACTGTTTTGTGCTTCTTCGTACTCAGTATACAGGGTGTTTGTAAATATTTTAACCGCGTGTTCTCCTAATCATTTTAGAAAGGGTCTTCCTAGAATTTCTTTAATTTGAAGTCTCATTTTTGAGATATTTGATATCTAAAATGGCGAAAAATATTAGTTTTTATTGTTTTTTCTTTAAAACGGTTAAACATATAAACTTCAATTTTGGTATACATTATAAGCAAATTGAGTGGCATTCTATGGTAGTGTTTTGTAGTTCAATTTACTTTTATACAGGGTAGAAATGTGGCACCCCTACTTTCGTTTTGTTCAGAACTTTTTTGTGAGTGGACAAAACCTAAATACTACAACAAGGAATTCAACTAAAGGATAATTAATTATTTATTAACCCATTGAACTACTTAATTTATTTATAGAGATAAAAACATATCACTCCTACACGCAATGATATCATGTTGTGAACATAAGTAAACTATTTGCAGGAAAGCTTCTTGGAATATTGCAATCAAAAGTTGGTTTGATATCAATACTTCGGAACTTCAAGGTAACATTAAGCGAGAAAACTAAGATGCCGTTCAGCTTTGATAAATCTGGAGTAATCCTGAACACTAACGGAAAATTATGGATAAGCCTTGAAACGATTGAATGATTTTGTCGTAGTTTGCCATATTCAATAAACAAATATGTCGACTTCACCTAGTTGTATTGATAAAAACTCTCCCAATTTTAGTCGCAATATTACATTTTTCCATGCAATCAAGCATTCACGAAAAACGGGAATAAAAATCCAAATTCGTAATCAATGCTTTTGAATTCGTTATTTGTCCAAATTATCTCCCAGACTTGAAATAATGAGCTGATGCAAAATTGTAACTGGTGACGAAATGTTAGTTATAACCATGCTCTCTTAAGAAACATTTTTGAATCAGACCATTTCTCTAGAATTTGCAGTCTTCATTTGTCGGTCTAGTTCTCTCGCAATCTGTTTTAATTGGGAAAATTCAGAAACTTTTCTTCTTCACAGTGAATTTCATAATAGTAACGGGACCTTAGGCAACGTAAAACATGGAAATATACCTACATTTTGCAGTATCCTTTGTATCAAAGACTTAATTTTTCCAGAAAACGAAATTGAGTAAATGCAATAACTTTCTACTCCCGTAAAGCATGTTTTCTTGACAGATCAGCTTATGTATTAAAGTGAAATTTGGGCCCCAAATAGGGAAGCTTAGGAACCCCGCTTTTTCAATGAGAAACCACAAAGTTCTTCAAAAAAATAAGTTTCTTTATTCTAAGGCTGTCTCGCCTAAGAAAGCTTTGCCTCGTTCCAGTTTATTATTTTCGATAAGCCGCTTTACTCGGCGAAGTTTTTCCAAACTGTTTTAGTGTGCGTAAAGGTTATTCACGAATAAATCCCTTAATCTCTTTATGATTTCTTCAAGCGCACTTGGAAGTTCCCAGGGGCAACTTTAATGTGGTCGTTAGTTTTGCATAGGTATAAGAATTCTGATGCGGAAACAGGATAGACGGTATCGCAAAAGTAAATAAGCCTATACAAAGAAAGCATCTTGAGTTATCGAATTATCAGACCAAATATTGGCTTCCAAAAATTTTAGTTTAGCTGCAACAATAAATGTAATCATAGGTGATAAGTCAGCTGTTAAGTTAAAGATATTACTTGTTTTCAGAGAAAATTCTCAACAAAGTTGTCTTGAAGTACAAGTTAAGAAATAATGAAATTCTGAGGGATTGCAACGGGCTGCATAAGTTCGTTAATGATGATGTGCATTTTTACATTAACTTAATGCTGTTTATTTTCTTTTTAATTTCATTGCCGTGTAACTTTTATTGTTCAAGTTGACACCCACACATATTTTCAACTATTTATAAGTATTCTAATTACATACGAGCATTAAAATGATTTCTGAAGTTTGTATGAAAACGGTTTCTCTCCAGGATAGTACTTTTTATGTTGTTATCGATATTTCAATTTTATTGCAAATTTTTTCATATAGATATTATAAAACGTTTACATCTCACTGGAGGAAGTTCTATAATGAAACCATTATACAGGCTTTCTATGTTTTCATTATGCATTTATTATGAATTTAAGTACACCAGCTAGGAATACTCTAGAAACTCTTTTATCTGCACCTGGGCCATAAGAGCTTATTATCGCTCTGAATATTAGTGCAATAAGAATTCCTGACATTAGGTAATTTTCTTCTGTAACGACTTTTCCCAAACTAGTTTTTCGATTTATGCTACCCTATTATTTTGAATCTGCTGGAATGTAGGATGCAGAAATATTCCTGAGAGAGCTATCTTTAATATCTGAAAGAATTCTACAGTCACTCAAGTGTTAATAATTTATTTTTATATCTGAACTGAATCTACACAGGTACTAGGGATCTACACTACAAGTTCTAGAAATTCTGGAAACTTCGCCATATTTATAAATTAAGTAATAAATGAGGAAATTTGAAGATTTCCTTTATACCAATGCCACAAAATTCGAGATTGTAACAGCTTAAAAAAAACACTCCGGTCTGGAAAAGTTAGACTTTTTCGAGAAAGTTTTAGATAGTACGATGGATGGTGCCAATTTATTTACCAAACTAGTGATCACTCCAATCGATGATTCAATATTCACATAAAAATCAACATTTGACTATATTTTCATAGTCATGATTCTCATCTTGGCGAAGATATCGACACCAAAAGAATTATGTCAACATTTTCAAATAAAATTGATAAAATTTAAAGTGACTTAACTGTGACTTAATCTGCTGGTACATTTTAAATTAAAACTCAAAAGCTTGAAAATGAAAATATGGAATTGATGAAACCTTGAGATTCTAGATGTTTTCCACACATGTGACCTGAGCATGTAACACAACAGATCAAGATTTTCGCTTGTCTTTCGGAAGGTCGAGACAAATTATGATATTGGCCTCTTCAAGGTTTAAAATTGATTTAGAAATTACATCAATTCTGTTCTAGATAAATTTAATAGGTGTCTTCGGTATGATTCAGTTAACAGAATGAAACATTTAGCTCAAGTTTTTATTGGTAAGTAAATCATTCAATTTGCAGACATTATAACGTAATCAGTTTCAATAAATATGAGAAAATATATCGAGAAGTTCTTGCTTTATACTAAACATTTAAATTATTAAAACGTATATAATTACTGAATGCCTTCATATGTAAATTACCAATTATTTCTGGTACCGGGTTCAAGTAAAAATAGTTATTCCATTACACATATCAGCACGAATTCAAAAATTAAACTCTGACATTTTGATAGTACTATCGGGTCTGTGTTTTGTCGAAGCAAAATTACATCGTTATAATCGCAGCTAGTTTGCAATCAAGATCCCAAACTAACCCAACATACACATTACACATAAACTGACCTTGAAACACAGATAAAACGAATTTCAGTGAGCCGAAATTATTTCATTGATAACCAATTTTAACGCCTATTCATTTCTGGCAGCTTGAATATTTATAATGAATCGCTTAGAAAGATAGAACATCAGATAACATTGATAAAGAAGTAAAGACAAAAATTAAGAACTTGCAATACTAAATACATTTTCATTTTAACACTTTCTTCAAGCACCCGCTCAACACACCGATTCCCTTTTACTTTGCCAAGACAAAGCAGTGATTTAAGTGGCGATTTCGCTTCGATTGGTCCAGCACCAACTGCGCTATTGAGCAGTATCGGTTGTGTGCCAGTATTATATTTTTACGAGATTCTCTAGTTTGCCCTCTGGGCAAAATCAGCACGATCAAAGAAACTATCCCTCTACTTTATTTCAAATAGCAATAATTCTACAATAAGAGAACTTAAATAGTATGTATGAATCTTATGAAACCACCCCTCAACTAATAGCACAACTCTTAGCCGGTGCTTTTACATGTCCAAATAAATTTTAAAAGCGTTCAGGCTTAATATTCATACCGCAGTTGAGCTGTATTATTATCCATTAAGACCTTGTGGGCGCAGCATCCACTTTGCTTAATTCTTATGAAGATGATAATGTTTTCAGCGGTTTACTGTATCCGTGTAATAAATAATAGCACAACTTCTAGGTTTCGAGGTTTGTCTTAGCTTCGGGAATGATCAAACTAACACCTACCAAACATGTGCAAAAAGTTATAAAGAGTCATCCACTGGATTATAAAGGTCACTCAGAAATTGATGCTGGTCCGGTGAGCATTTCCACGCATTTAAAGTGAAACGTGATTTTCCGTGAAACATTATTTATATAAGTTGCTGGCCGAAAACTGTAACCATCATCAATCATCATAAAATCTATAGGAATGCTACGGTTTATAATTCAACAGCCATCAACAGAGATTTAAAATTTAATTCAATTTATTACTGCATCCGCATTTTCTATTATCAAGTGAGTTTAAAATGAAGAGCTTTCATTCGCTCTCTCTGTGATGCTTCTGGAGTTGTGATGTTTTATTTGTCCATGCGATTTATTTTAATCTATTCGCTCAACGTTCATTAATTCTCGTTTCTTCAACTCCCTCCTGTTTGTTATTTGCCCATCTATCCCAATAATTAATTTTCTCCGGCTTACCTTCAAATTATGGTTGAAAATTTGAGTTCATCTTATTACATCATACTTATTTTTAGCAGATATATTTGAACTTTAAAAAGTTTGATAATAAATCATATGTCCATTCCTACCGCTTCAGATTATAGAGTACGACGTCACATTATATCAAATTATCACTCACTTTCTAACCGCGATTAATAACTTAATGATCATTATTCTGATATTACGTATGTTTGTCGACCTCAAAATTTTTGATTTGAACTGCAAAAATTTCCGTTAGGTGAATGAACTTATGATATAAGGGAAAAGGTTTGGAATATGGCAATAAACTGTTATTTTGAATGTTAATAGCGCTTCATTAATTTAATATATGAAGAGAGCCATGATCAGTTCAATATTGTAATTATATTTTTACCCATATTTATAGAAGACAATTTACTAAACTGTATTAATTTGATTGATTTAAACTTACATTTTCAGCCCTTACATTGTCGTAGATATCAGCAATTAAAAGTCCAAATTTGTTATTAGTATTTGAAAAGTGTGAAACCTACGAATTCAAGTTAATCATTAGAAATTGAAGCAATTATGTTAGCAGTGTGACAATGTGTTGTCTACACATTGTCACAAGTGAGAAAAAATCTCAAAAACTGCAATGAAAAATTCCACAAGCATAACGGAAAGCATGTTGCATCAAAGAAGACAAATAAATTATGAAAATCCTACCAATGGCAAGAGAGCAAATATGGTTAAGAGGCAAAAAAAGTTTGATTAGTTCATATATGGAGAAGTACAGAACATGATTAAATGCGTACCACATCCCGATGGTAAGTGTTTTTGGAAGAACTTACTAATAGCACTTAAACCTTCATTTGACTTGCCGACTTAGAACGTTCTTCAAAATATCAGCTTTTCAGTTTAGATGAATTGGTATATTTTTTTTTGTTTGAAATTGTCAAAGTATATTTAATAGTCATTAAAATATACCTTAAGAGGGCAGTAATGATTTAACTACAGTCTCAGATGGACATTTTCTTATAAAGATCTAATCAAATACTTGAAAACATCACCTTTATGTATCAGCTTTTGCTTAAAAAGGTCTACAAATAGTGCCAAGCAGAAATTCTTTTGTCAGCAAATATGCTGTTTTTCTAATACAGGATTCGAACGCATTTTCACCATTAATAGTTACTGAAAATGCAAAGTAATGGTTTGGAGTTTAAATTCACTTTTAACTGAGCAATAATTAAAACAGAGGCACACTAACTCGGCATGTGTATTAATTAAACGAGCAAAAGTATCCCTATCCATACTGAAACCAATAAACCGCATAGATATTAATCATAAGAACTAGAATATAAGTGAACAATGATTAATTAAGTAATGTCTTGTACTTCTGCGGGCCAACACAAAATTTTTGACGCGAATATTACTAAATAAATTGAACCACCCTTTCAACTAACATACTATATACATTCGTTTAGAACTGAAACGTTCTTTGAATCGTCTTGCGATGTTTAGAAATTTCTATTCTATTATCGGAACGAGGTAATTAAATAAGTGAGCTTAATTCAGAAACGCACTGCGGAAAATGTGTTTGCGTTAAAACGGAGGGCGGCTTAAAATATGAAGATAAATCTTTTGAAACAGGCCCACATGAAGCAGGTGTGTTCAAATGTGCATACGTGAATTGCTTAGCACTTAATTATTCAACGTACGCAAACCATATGAAATTGTTGGAGGAATTCAGTTCAGGTAGTTTCGAAATTAGTATGTATTTGCCTCAATAGCCAAAAGATGCTCTGTAAAGCAATTCACCAGTTTTTTTTGGAAACATTCATTGAAAACGACAAGTTGTAGCTTTCTAAACAGCTGAGAAGATAAACTGGAAACATGCAGAAAATATTGCAGATTTGAACCCAAAAATCCTCCCCAACTATTTTCCACTTGAGGCTGGTTTGCCGTTCCGACCTTAAAGGTTTAGAGTACAATTTTGAAAATATAATCATAGTATGAAGAAAACAGTCTGATAAATTTCCAAATTTACTTGTTGAAATAACTTACAGCCACATACACAAATATAACAAAAATTAGACCTTTATAATTGCTTTGTAACTCGATAGTACAATTTAAAATAAACGGCAAAAGCGGGAAAATTGTGCGACTTTAATTGCAATTTTCACTGAAATATGTAATATCATCACCTACCTTTTTATGTGATACGCCTATGTAACCGAAATATATAAATTATTACTTTTTATGAGCTCTTAAAATATCTTTTAATACAGATATTTGCATAAGCGCATATACCAAAGTATAAAGAAAACCATAAAAGACGAAATGAAATCTGATAAAGCGTATAAAGGTAGACTTATACGATATGTTTCAACGATAACAGTTTAGAGCCTCTCCACTGTTTTATTACTTTGCAGGAGTTATGTTTTATTACACGATAAACTTTTGATATAGTGGAAGATTTAAAATTTCATAGAATATTTGAACCAACTGCTTGTGGATTTGCGAAAGTGTCTATTGGGGCAAGTTGGTGCTTGTCGCTCATTTTCTAAACCAAAGTTTCAAAACGTTATTGCAGTAGCTTTCCATCACGTAAAACATTGTTCAACGGAAAAACTTTCATCATTTATTGAGGCTTATAATAATAGCCTGTGTTTAATGAGCAAACAGAGGCTGCCTTACAAAGAATAATATTTTCCTTAACAGAAAAGAATGGGTTTTACGATAGAGGGAATATTCCGATTCATAGTATTGCTTCCCTGTGAACCATTATTCGTTCTAGATTCATATTTTTTACCTTTCAAACCTTTATTGGCTCCGAAAAATTGCCATTAATGTTTTATAGGAATTAAAATAATTAAACCACTAAAATTGCGTTTCAAGCGATTATATATTTTGCTGCTGCTGATCTTTTAAAAGCGAGGATCGTATTTAAAACAGTCTATATATCTTAGGGGTCGCATTTGTCCGCATAAACTTGCCGTACTATGAGAGTAATATAAGGTTTTCCATACTCAAGAATAAAGCGAATCCGGCTAAAAATATCTGAATTCCGCACAAAATATTCCCGCAAGTATTAAAATGTTTGCTTGAAATCTGCTCGAAATTAAAATTTTGCCTGTTTAATATCAAGAGAGGCTAGAAGCAAAAATTCCCCAGAAAATGCTGGTTTGCATGTTTCTGCAAAGCGTTCTACAAGCTCCAAGAAATTGTCTTTCTTGCGTGTCAGATCTAGAAGATTATTTGCGGATCAAGTTATTAAATAGTTAATGCGTTTAATTGGACAATTAACTGAATTTTGCTCAGTTATTGACACTAAGGCAAATATGTTTACATAAAAGATATAATCTTTTAGCTTAATGATATTATCTTTGTAAGTTGTTTGAATTGTCTCATTCACTCAATTCGATGAATAACAGGTATTTTCAAACTAATGGCACAATTACGATTGTTAAGGCGCAATATAAATAGCTAGACAAATCAAATAACTATCTGTTTTTCCGATTATTATCGTACTTTATTTAGCACACGATAAATGATTTTACTTCATAAAAATGCAATTAAACCGTACACATTACTTTATTTACTTCACTTAGGTGCGCTTGAGGACTCAATTTGAAACTGTATTGAGTAAAATAATTGAATACAGAGTAAGAATCATATATAAATAATCTTCTGAAATGTTCCTAGGGCAGGACTGTTTGTTACTATTGCAAGATGAAACTGTCAAAAACACCAGAAATTAATGGTACTCATGATTATTTTTAAATGTACACTTCAGCGGAAACACTCGAATTAATTTAAACTTGAAATCCAGCTTTGCCAAACTCATTAGTGGCAAAACTCTAAATCAGTAGCTTCTCAATTTGTTTATCAGTATTTAGATTTAGAAACTTCCTCAATTTCTAAATTCACTTTCAAGTTTAATATTTTATTATTTATCTAATAATGGCAAACATATGTATGGACTCATTCTTCAACTGTGTATTAATATATCGTTATTCACGAATAGAACGAATTTATTTTGCCGAAATCCCATTCCCTCAACTTTAACTTATGTGAACGCCAAGCATGTATAATAAATCCGCTACTTCGTTTTGCTGTTTGGTTGGTTTGCTGTATACTGGAAATAAATAAGAATTCAGATGGATATATGTTGAGGTAATAGAGTGGAAAATTAAACTTTTCGCTTTACTACAAAATAAACGACCAGTTGTTTACAAAGTTGTACTCTAAAAGCCTCAAAAGTGTACATAAAATATTATCAAAAAACGGCAATGTTATCGAGTTTTATGTGTTAATTTGTACGGTTAAATTACGATTCCGGGTTGAGCAGATAAGCACATAATTAACATAGTACTGCCAGATTCTTTGACTTAAAATAAGACGCATTACGATCAACTGTAATAAGAATTGCTGTGAATTCGTTTGTAAATAAGATTCGCATTTTAATGAAGCTCCCACGCCTCTCTGCAAAGTGCAAGAGCTCAATTATATTAAATAAATAGTTTTTAATATAAATGAGCGCTTGAGGTTTAAACTCTTCTTGCTGCAAACCTTATAAAATTTGCAAACATTAATTTCACCATATATGTAATATTCGAATTTTGGTTATTTTGTCTGTTTAAAAACAAGATTAAAGGGTTTAATTGAAAGGGTTTAAAGTTGAAAAAAAAAGTTAAAAAAGGTTATTTTGTCTGTTAAAGTATGCTTTACATACTATTACTTCAGCATGTTCGCCCATTTTATTATATTGTGGACCTCAAGCCACTTTATACCGATTAACGCAAGACAGCTCTTAAGGAAAGATATATTTCTTTTGCTCCAGTAAGTTATCCCATTACGAACTTGTTTGATGTTTTACTGATCGTCTTATTTCACGGATCGTAAAATACCACTTGCCCATCTTTTGCCCTCGCCGATATTTCGAGAACTTCAACAAGCAAAAAATAAGGGATAACTTCTAGTTTGTTTCGTTTTAACCCAATGCTGGGGCGAAAATCGATATATATTTGTTCCAAACTGTCGCCTATTCGAGTTAATGACTTGCTTATTGCCACCAGCCTTAAGATTGTGCTCGATCTCTTTAATAAGCAAGGTTTTGTCACTAACAATGGTAGCCTCTATTGAAATCACTTTTTTCCAAATAAGAGGCTCGAAATAATAGTTTAAAAACCAAAAAATCTATTACTGCTCTACTGCTGCATATTTACACATTCACACTAAACTTGTAATAAGAACATACGCATATAGACATATAACAACAATATAGAACTTATCTACAACATATGCATGTTATGTGATAACTTTTCAACTGTTTGTCCTCAAAACGACTTTTAGCAAATTGTACCGAAATAGATTTATTTAAAGCTTCAAAACGTTGAAAATTTGCGCAGCAGAACCAGCCGTGAAATTAATCTATCGATAAAATATAAGGTTTGAACATGAATAAACAGCAACTATGAATTCATAATGGATCTTTCTATAATGACTGCAAAATGGAAGAAATTATTTTGTAGGTATTCGGTTCAATACTCGTTTCGTTTCTTATTTAGCGGAATAGTCCTCCAACGGCCCTTAGCATAATGTTCAATTAAAAAAACAAAGACCTATTAAAATTGCCTTTCTCTTAAGTCCATCACTACCTCAAAACTTCCGAATACTTGGTAATTTCGATTAAATACACCCCGCGAAGGGGAACTCTGACAATAACGACCCTTTCGTACTTTCATTAGCAAATAAGCAAAGCGATTTTATTACCTCCTACTTCCTGGGAAGGTTTCAAAGGATTTTGCTTAATGTACACTAATGG